AAATAGCAGAGTAAAAGTACCGATACATCACTTAAAATGTACTCAAGTAAAAGTAAAAGTACACAATTTTTAAACTACTCAAAAAAGTACAATTACTGATAAAAACTACTTAATTACTGTAACGTGAGTATTTGTAATTCGTTACTTCACACCCCTGATAAAATGTGAATTTTACATTTGTGTCTTCTAAGATAGGATAAAAAAAAGAAAAGAAAAAAAATTCTAAAATGTTTTTAATATATAACTGATTATTGTTAATAATAATAATAATTTTTGCTTACATCTATAAATTAAATTAAAATTAAATAATAATAATAATAATAATAATTTTAATCTATTGATGTTGTAAGTAAAAATAATAATAATAATAATATTTTATTATTTAAATGTAAATATAATCTTCATTATTAAAACATTAAAATTCAATTCAAATAATTTTTAGCCGTCTTATTTGTAGATGTGGTGAGCCAGAGGCAGACGTTGGGCAAGCACAGTTTGTTGGAAAATATTCATGCGTTTTTGTTACAGGTGTTACTGTTTAACTGGCCACAGAATTTAAGTTATCCATTGGACAACAATCAGATGCCCTTGAGTGAAGGACCACCCAACAGTAATCTGCATTTCCCATGCTTAAAAATAAGGTCCCATTCCCCATGTAACACAGTCCTACAAGTTTCCTCATGCAAGACTGTGTTCCTCCATGGTACAACAAGGGGTGTGTGTGTGCACGTGTGTCTGTTTGTGATGAGGTGTTGGGGTGAGGAGTTTGTAGGGAGAAAGCAGGATAAATTTAGAGTGTGTTGGCCGCAGACTCAGCTCTGGTTTTAATTTGGGCTTGGTTTGGAACATACTGAAGGTCCTGGTGGAAAGCCAGAAGTGTAAAGGATACAATGAGTGTATGTACCATGTACCTGATGTGTTTGTCTTTACATAGAATGTATACATGATTTGTTTGTGTTTGCAAACTTTACTACTACTGAAGCTGCTCATGTTATTGGTCAGACGTCCTAAATATTCAACTTCTGTGCATAACTTGTCAGTTGAAGGCAAAAGAAGATATTTTGAAAAATGCTGGTAACCAAACAGTTGATGGTAGCTATTGACTTTCACAGAGAACCGCAGGGCAGGTTGCTGGCCTAGGAGACAAAGACTTCTTGGTCTGGAGGAGAACGAGAAACCCTCCTATTCTTAGCAGTGCACATGTCAACTGAGGGTTGTGGGACTGCTAATAAACCTGACCACCATTAGGAGAGAAATACACAACCATTATCATGTGGTCGCTGATTCATGTCTTATTGCCTCCTCAGGGCCGCTGGTTCTGGAGAGTGAGGAGGAACAGAGTGCTGGATAACTACCCAATGCCTATTGGACACTTCTGGAGGGGTCTGCCGGGAGACATTGATGCTGCATATGAAAGGCATGATGGACGATTTGTGTTTTTCAAAGGTATTTTCCCTTTCCGACTGCACTTGAAAACTGATTTAGCTCTGTGCTGTTAAAAGTTAATATAGACCATAAAAATGCTATATTCATGAGAGAAATTATTACCCAGGCTGGCAGAATTACATCACATTGAAGTGCTTTTTACATTAGAACAAACCATTGATTTTGACGTTTGTCATTTAGTACAGGAAGTACCCTTGATTTCCCTCAGCCATTAATGTGTTAGTCTGATGGATTTTACAGGTAGAGTTTTAGGCCCTGTCCACATGAACGCGGTTATTTTTAAAACCGCAGCTTTTTATACGCGGTTAGGCAATTCGTCCACATGCAAACGCAGCACCAGTTCACTGAAACCGAACATTTTGAAAATGCCTGCCAGGGTGAAGATTTTTTAAAACTCCGGTTGCAGTGTCATCGTGTAGACAGCGAAACCAGAGTTTTTGGTTTGTGACGTCTGCGCCTGCGCCTGCGCTGTTATCTCCACCTACTGGAAACTTTTTCAGGCTTCTGATTGGCCAACATGGCTTTACGGTTGATATTATATCGCCACCTGTTGGTTTGGCATGCTCTTGACAGTGCTTCATAGCATGCGTTTGCGTTTTCATGTGGGACAGAGATTTTTTTAAAAACGGAAGAAGAGATTTTTTTAAAAACGGAAGAAGGAAAAACTCTGTTTATAAAAATACCCGTGTACGTGTGGACATGGCCTTAGAGACACGACGTTTTGGTTTGTATATGAGTTTAAGGTAAATGTACAAAATTAAATTTTTGAGTTGTATAATTCTGGCCATAAATTTAGCAAAGGAAGCTAAACTCAGTGAACGCTTTAACTCATATTTGATTTGCTTCAATCAGGACAGTAAGCATTTTTGCCATTTTTTATTTTTTCCAGCTACTGAAAGTTTTATTGAATTTTTTTTAAAATTAACATTTTAGCATTTTGCATGATGTATTTTTTTTTTGCTGTTCTCTGCCCCACCACCAAAAATTATAACATAGTGTATTTTTTTTGCATTAAAATTTCTCTTAAGAAAATGTTCAACAGCTATAGCATAGCCCCATTATACCTATAAATCCATAAATATACTTTGCTGTCTGCTCAGTTTGTCACGGTGCAAACATTACTAGTTAGTTTTTCATTTTTATCCATTCTTACTGGGGTTTCCAGAACTATTAAAAGTAGAGTTTCAGAGACATAGCTTTTTGGTTCATACAGTATATGGGTTTAAGAACTAAATGTAATTTGGCTATGAATAATTCTGAAATTGACCATATATTTTGCAAAGGAAGCAAAACACACATTTACTCAACAATAAGATTTTTTTTAACATAACTATAATTAGAAATTAAACGCCTAGTAACTAGTAAAGAAAACTTTCAATGAAAAATATTCTAAACTCTTAACTCTTTATTGGTACATATAAAAATGTAAAATACAAACTTAAAAAAATGGTGGAGTGAAAAAAAGTTTCACTGTCCTACTACCACTTTTTTTATTTATTTAGAATTGTACATTTTTGTATGGGTCAGAATTTTACAAATATTTTTTTAATGTAAAAAAACAAATTAAAACAAATGTTACCCTGTTTTATTTATTTATTTACATAATAATGTAACTCCATTACACATAAATGTACTTTGCTGTGCAAACATTGCCGATTGCTTTGTAATTCTTAATCCATTGTTACTAGGGCTTCCAGAACTTTTACAGGTCATGTTTGCAATTTCAATAACGTCCATGCTAATATCCAGCTAGATAATTGTGTCATATTTAAATCAGCCCAATTTATAACAGGAAACCAAATGTTTAAATTTCCAAGTCATAAAACTACATGAACAGTGTCAATGAATGGCTCTGGTGCAAAATCAACTGGTCTGAAACTCAGTCAGTGGGCCACTCTCATTATCAAGCCCTGCCAGCAGATTGAGATCAAAAACTGCTCAAACCACAGTGAGTTTTCCCACATTAGTTATACATATCAACACCCTGCACCCCTGAAACAGACATCTAATAACTTCCTGGTGAAGATTTCTGTGAAGATGAATGCATATTTGTTAGACTTGAGGAAAGCTGGCTCCCATAAGGAAACCGTGCATGGCAAGTAATGATGTCATTGGCAAGGCCCTTTAAAATTGGGATTTCTGCCATTGGAGAAAACCAGGAGACCAAAATCTTAGGAGCAACATTTGGTCTTAGTGAGGCGAGGCCATTGCGTCAGCTAGCGCTTCTACCAGATGCTGACAGCAACGGTTGGACTTGGACATGGGCCCACTGAATCAAACGGGTCCATGAGGATGGTGCCTCAGTGTCTGCCATACTGTAAAATAATAAAAGCTCAAGCTTATCCCAATGTTTCTGTAACGGCTCCATGCGATGCTTTCGCTGTCGCTTTAACCACTAAAATGTGGGATTTGAACCAAACCCGCATTGTTGGTGCATCTCTTGCAGTGCTGTAGTGCAGTTATTTGAGTTATAACAGAGAGTAAACACAAATCTGTGGTTGAGTTTTGGAGTTTGTATTACTGTGCCAAAGGTTGGAAAGTCCCTGTACATGCACCATGAAATCCTGAGTGTTGCTGCCTCCCACTTCTTGTCTTTTCTACTTCCTTGCCATTGTTTTCAACCTTTGTTCTCTTTCTTCATATCCATTTTTGAACTTTTGACGTTTTTTTAAAACCTGCTTTCTAGTGGTTAACCAATATGTTTTTTTCGATGGGTGGCCGATGTATAAACCGTACGATAGTAAATGAGAATAAAGTTGTGTCTCATTTGCTGTATTGGATACAGATTTCGAAGGCCACACCTTTAAAGTCAGAGAAGGTCGAACCAAGCTTTGTTAATTGGATAACGCACCATTTCACAAAGCTCAAATCATCTCAAACTCTCTCTCTCTCTCTCTCAAAAAAAAAAAAAAGAATCCTGTCATCACCAGTGAGCAATGAATCTAGGGACAGCCTGTGCTGCAAAGGATCCATTCTTTGTATCCTTCATGGCCCAGGAAACAAAGGCTGTATTTGAAGGAGTATTTGAAATGGGACAGCCTATTGTTGCGCCGCTGTGACGCATTAGGTCTTGGAATGCAGCCTCTGAAGTGGTGGGAACACCACTAAACATAGAATTGCTGAAATATTATATTAAAAAATCTTTCAAAAAACATTTACACAATATTTAATAGAAATTTACAAAAAAGTGTCAGATTATCACTACTTGCTTCTTTCTCTCTCGTGTCCATCCACCTGTAGGGAGTCAGTATTGGTTGTTCAGAGAAGCCAACCTGGAGCCCGGCTATCCTCAAGAACTGATGAACTATGGTAGAGACATCCCATATGACAAGATAGAGATGGCCATCTGGTGGGAACCTTCTGGCTTCACTTACTTCTTCAAAGGAGACTGGTGAGGGGCTACTCTTATTTTTTGTTCTGCAAATAATTCCGCCTCTAATGTTTATTGTCTAATCATTCCCTTGAGTTGTTTTGGATGCATTACTGACCCTGTTTACACCTGCTCTTAACATCAGTCTCGGGTGACCTGATCACAAGTGATCAGTCTAGACAGATCGATATTTACTTATGGTATTAACATGTCTTGCATGCTTCTTTAATGACCACCCCAGATCAGATT